GGTGGGGGTGGGTTGCTGCTGGCGCCCATGGGGCTCACCTCTTGTGTGCCGGGGCGGGGTGGTATGGCAGCCCGGAAGCCTCCTCTTGTGCACTGGGAGTGGCTTACCTCCTGTGTGCTGTCGGGGGTCCAGTCCCTTTTGTTTTGAGGTATTCATGCCTTTTATTGGAATCTGCTCACCCATTTCTTGATTTATTGAGTATGCCAATCTAAGATAAAGATCACTGTCTCTCATAAATACTTTTCTCTTTATGCTCTCACTATGTTGTCATCTTTGCTTTGGTAAAGAAAAACTCAAGGCAGTAACAAAGTAGCAAAACATTTTATAAGAATTCTACAAATATCTTGTCTAATGTGCCCTTTTAAGAATTTAAATTCCTGAAGAGCAAGTAAGTCTAATTTTACATAGAACACATCTACTAAGGTTTTTCATTCACCATCTTCTGATGATGTTAATGTCTTTTCAGTAGTTTTTTAATTTTATATTGTTTTGTCAAATCTTTAGCCAACAACTAATAGCTCTTGTCAGGATCTATAAATAATATCTTTCCTTTCAGTTTTAGGAACTTGGAAGGAGTCTGATTTATACCTTAAAGATCTTTTGTTAAAAGATCTCTTTCAAAGGGAGAATCCTAAGGATTTTAAACATTACAGTCTATTTTTTTTGTTTGTGGCTTGTTTTTTTTCTAACTTAACGGCAGGTTTTATTGGTGATCTTGGTGTCCCAGGCAGACCCCTTTACCTACCACAAATTTAAGAAATTCTGTTGAAGCCTCTGCTGAGAAAATACAGCAGATTATTTTAAATTTCATGATGGGAATAAATTGATTAGAACTTGTTCTTCAAAGTAAGGGAGCTTTTCTCTTCAAGCAGAGAAATTGCTTAAGATTTTACTATTGATTTTTTTTCTCATTTCACGCAGATATATTAGTGCCAACATTACTTTCAGTGATAATGACCATGACAACTACATGTGTTTTGATTAGCCTCTATTATTAGAACTCCAATTTACAATATAAATACACAGTATTTTATTGCTAAAAAATGCTTACTGTTCTCTTGTAAACATTTCTTTGTTTTTGTTCTTTTTGTTTTGTTTTTTTAAATTTTATTAGTACATTTTAGGTATACAACATAATGACATTCATCATTGGAAATTTGCACCTTTAC